CCTCTTTCACTCTCGACTCTACCCTACACGCAAGATCATCTTGACACCACCTCTTTCACTCTCGACTCTACCCTACACGCAAGATCATCTTCTTCCCCCTGCTTCCTCTTCCTCTTCCTCCTCCTCCTCCTCCGCACGATATCATGTCGGTTGTTGCTCTATGCTTGATAGAGAAGTCGCACGATACCCATGTCGGTTGTTGCTCTATGCTTGATAGAGAAGTCGTCGCCAGACAACGATGTTGCTCTTCTTCTCCTCCTTACTCCTCTCTTCTTCAGTGGTTGGCTAGGGCACGGTCGAGCATCTGTATGCTCGCACAAAGCTTCTCTTTCTCCCACTTGCTGCTCGCGATAGTCTACAGAGCCGCTCGAGGCCTTATCATTCTTGTACGCTCGAGTGAATGAAAGGAATTGTTTGTTGGTAAACCACACATCACCTCTTCCTCCTTCCATCTTGATTTCGATTGGCTAGGGCTCGGATTGAGCCGCACAGATGAGTATGTTGCTTCCTCCAGTGACTTCGATGCCTACCTTTGCACGCAAAGAAACCCGCTGCTTATCCTTCCATTTCTCCCTCTCTGCTCTCTCTCTCTCTATCTGTTACGAACAATCGCTTAAAGATAACCGGGACCATCATGACGATTGATCGAATCCTTGCCACCGCTTACATTTCTTTTCTTTTCCTTTTTTAAGTGGCTAATACAACTACATCTCGTCATCAACGGCAAACTCCCACTTCATTGAGTCTTCAACTTGATGACTTCTCATAACACTCTTGTTCACCCTATCAGTTAACAAAATATAGCATAAAGAAGGAGAATATCTCTGTATTGATTGTGTATCGATAGTGTAACTTTGTTGGATCTTCTGATTTCAGTAACAGGTAACTGAGAAATTTCTTGTGCTTCACCAGATTGAGCAATTATCCTTTCTCCATGTTTTTATTGCTGGTATCTTTTTTCTCAACATACTTAGAGTCTTCAGAAGTAACTGATGGATAATTCTAAGTTCTGTTCCTATCCTTCTACATTTTCATATCAATGAAAGTAACATCACTGCTCCTAATGAATTTAATATTCTAAGAATCCCAGAATTTGTAGTCAAACTCATCTAAGTCATACCCAATGAAAGTGCACTTAACTGATTTCAAATTAAGTTTCCAGATCCTACATCAACATGAACATACGTTGAACAGCCAAAGATTTTCAAATGAGATAGATTTACCTTTCTGTCACTCCAAACTTCTTCTATAAGCCTACATTCAAAGGTGTTGACGGACTACGATTGATCAGATAAGCTGCAATATTTACCGCTTCTACCCATAACTGTTTTGGCAAGCATACATGCAACCGCATACATCTGACAATCTCTGCGATGGTTCTATTCATACACTCAGTCACACCATTCTGTTATGGTGTCCTTAGAATAGTGAACTCATGCCTAATCCCTTCTTATGCACAATAAATCCCGAACTTCTAATCACAGTACTCACCACAATTATCTGATCTGAGACACTTCAACCTCAAGTCCATCACATTCTCAATCATGATATTCCACTTCTTAAACACTTCAAATACATCAGATTTGTTTTTCACATAATACACCTATACTTTTCTGGTGCGATCATCAATAAAATTAAGTATTGGGAACCTCCAGCCAACTAAACTGGAGTAGGACCCCATACATCAATTTGAGCCAACTCCAATTTTTTTAACTTCACCTTTAACATACTTTTAAAAAAAGTAACCTTCATATGTGTGTCATAAACACAATATTCAGAAAAAACCTACTCTATAAATTTTAAAACCATGAAACTGATTCTTAAAAAGTAGGGATTTCATATATTTCTCACTCACATGACCAAGACTGTGTGCCAAAGACATGTATCAATCTTTATTCTAACTACATCAATAGATTTAAACATCTCATTGATCAGGTAAAGAATGTCTTGAATGTTGCCTCGAGCCATCACCATTGCCCCTTTGGTCACCTTCCACGAATCACTTGTGTCCTAACCTTACAAGCTGGCTCATCGAGATCAAATTTCTCTTTAAAGATGAAACATGTCTTAACTTTATTGAGCTTACAGACTCTTCCATTAGACAACAAAATATCCACAATATCGAGACATTGTTATCTCTCAAATGCATCTTCGCTAGATCACTCTGAGTGTAGTTTTTAAACCTCTTTATTAGGGCACACATGAAAAGAGACTCCTGAATCTGCCATCCAAGATTCAACATTATCTAGGGATAAAACTGGAGTCACCTCGAACTTTATTATTGGAGACATTTTTAGAAAGTTTCTTATATGTACCTCCACCACCAACCTTAGGAGTTTTGCGGTTCTTCTTGAAGTAACATTTTTTCTCGCATTTCTAGCATTCACCTCCATTTTTTCTCTCATTGACTTGGACTTTCCACTCTTGCACTTGAATGTTTCTCTACATGTGTTTTTATCAAGATTTCTTCCTCTGTTTTCAACATTCAATGTAGAGTTTGGTTTCACTGCTCATCCTTTTACACACTTCTTCATTTAGCACTAACCTCACAATATCATCATAGTTTAATTTAATATTACATGAAAAGTTGCTCACCACAATGCTGGTACATCCCAACTTTCTAGCAATGAAGATAAAGTAATAGTGCCCTAACCTCGTCATTGAAATTGATGCCCAAAGAATACAAGTAATTTGTCACTGTGTTGAAATTATTCAAATGTTCAACTACCGAATTACCATTCATCGTCTTTATATTGAACAATCTAGTTGAGCCATTTATGACCTTCCACAGTTTGTGGAACGATGTGTTTCATGTGTCTCCATTCTATAGTGCTCTGCTAGTGTTTTCCTACCAATAAAAATTCTACTGTAGTTTTGAAATTGGCTTATGCAATAAAATTTTAAATTAGTAATTTTAATTTTAAAAATTTGTTGTCTTTAATGGAATCTAAATATGTTGGACTAAATCTAAAAGTATTTAGAGAACTTTCTTATTTTGGGTCATACGTGGGCAACAAATAGGACCCTTAAGGCATCTAAATGAAAATAAACATTGAACTGTAATATAAAATTTCAGGTTTCACTAAAATATTGTGTTTTGGGATGTAAATTCTTCATGCTCTTCATATTTCTTGACAAATCGAAAGTGGGAATGTGATAAGTAAATTGGTTTCCATCTATTAAGGACTATGGAGCACAAGCTCCTAGTTCTGTGATATTAAAGAAGTGCTCAAATGCAAGTCTAGGAATCAAACATAGGCATAGTCATTGAGGGCTGAACAGTGTTATGTCTCATAAGTGATCACTAAAACAATTCGATAATAACCAACATATTTTGACGATAAACTTTTTTTTTTTATTTTAAAGACCGCTAACAGACTAAACTGAAGCTAGAACGGCTATCATCCCTTCACGGATAAGTTCTTCGCAAAATATTCATTGATTATGACACTTCTAAAGCCAATACTCCCTCTGATGTCAAATTAGGGCATGCATCCTTCTAATCATAAAGTCAATGAATTGCAACAAATGCAAGATATCCGCAACTATGCCTAAATGAAACAGCCTACCAGTTAGAATATTATTGTACCATAGGTGTGCCAGATGCAAAAGGATAAAAACACACGTGCTACTTTTTTTAGGTTATAATAAAAGCATAAAGCCCAACTAAAACAACACTTTAATTTCTACTTTTTAAGTTAACATCCAATGGGTGTAATCATTCCTTACAAATACAATTGCAGATGTCCTATCACCCAGAAAATAGCAAGATTAAATAAATGGTCGGGCATCTCTATCTAAATCGGTTATTAAAGGTTCCTATCTATTTACTTCTATCTTATCCTTGTCCCATTTATCGGACTTAATAACGCATGCCAAAAAAAATGTCAATTGCACTTGCCAGTTACTAATGAATAACTACTTCATTAAACCAACCCGCATACTCTAGTCCAGGCTGCCTTGTTTAGATAATTCATGTAAACCATGGATGTATTAATATAGCCAAGTCGAAGTCAATCACTTAAATTTTGTGAATAATATGACAAAACACTATCAGTACTTGCATTACTCGTTCTAAGCTGCCTTAATTCAGCACCAAAATGGACATTGCAATAGATAAGTACAATGTGAGTTAAAAAGACGGACCATGGATGCCGTGGTAAAAACCATTAACTATATAAACGACGAAGCCTTGCAGTTTCTGCATATATCCATCAAGAAAGAAAACAGGTTAAACTTTCACTTTCTAAACATACATGATTAAGAATAGCCTACCAGACTCGAACGAAAGCCCCATTTAAATCTTCTTTAACCATCTAAGTATAAATATTAAATGGGGCCAATGTTAATGGAGTTATTTTCTCAAGATTCTAGTAAATTAGTAGCTACCGATAAAATTCATAAAATACTTCACTTTGTACAATGGCAAAGCACATAAACTTGGCATTGCTGAAAATAAAGACCAAATCCACCCACTCACATAATTGAAGTCTTAAAAATGCAAAGCTGAACATGAATACGATAGGGGCATGATCGCCACTACCAACTATCATAGGTTACAAGGCAATTATGAAGCAGATTCTTTAGAATGCATAAAAGATGAAGAACATTCTGTAAATATTGTAAACATAAACTATAGCATGTAAGAATAGAGGTAGGAAAGAGGCTAATCATCCATCGAACAAGCTATCTTCAAAAGTGAACGAAAGATAAAAGAAGTTAAGGGCATTTACATCCATACCACCCAATTCCTATGTATATACATGTATAACACCTAAACTTTACTTTCTATATTTAAACCATCCAAATCTTTCATATCACATAAAAAATACCGTCATTTTAACTTTCAAAAAGTGGATTACACCTTTTCATGTATAGGTAAGGTGGAATGTATGTAAAAATTAAAATTTAGGTGTGGATAAGCAAATATGTAGGAATTGGGTGGTATGTAAGTAAATCTTCCAAGAAATTATCGCTTAATTCATGAAAACGATGCTTACAAGTGCAGCCATCCGAGCCCATCTGTTTCCCATTTTAGAATGCATTTGAATAATAAGCTGCTCCTCCTCTGGACTAAAGGCTCCTTTTTTCAAATGTGGCCTGAGATGATTAGCCCATCGCAGTCGGCAACTCTTCCCACACCTAAGAAGTCCAGAGTGTCTTTGAACGGCATTCCAATTTCCCTCCCCATGTTTCCGGACATACGAGATCAAAAGTGCATCTTCTGCAGTTGTCCAAGGTCCCTTCTTCAAAGTAACCCCTCCTCCTCCTGCCGATGATCCACTACAGCTGCCTTCGTCAGTAGATGATGACTCGACCTGTTCCTTTGACAGCACTAAGTTGTCGCCATCGTTTTCTGAACAGCTCATGTTTTGGGAATCTAACATAACATAGATACACTTCTATTAACAAATAAATGAAGAGAGAAAAATATAACATGCAACTCCAATGAAATTTTAACAAAAAAAAAAGAACTGCAAGTACATTCATTTGATAGCATATCACATCAAATGCAAGATAAGTTTCAAATAAAAGCAGAAAACATAAAATGATCCATCTCCTAAATTTTAATCCATGTCAATCAAAATGGAATCCATTCTAACTCTAAAACTTCCACTGCTCTGTGAATGAAAATATCTACTAAGAGCATACAATCCATAACAATTAAATTAAATGTATTTAGTCGACCTAAAAGCACAATCTCAGATGAGGTACACAAAAACAGGTAAAATTCGGGGAAATAGGAAACAAGAGGCTTGTTAGGGAAAGGAAAAAATACAAGGAGAAAGAACGAAAATGTGTATAAACAAAATACATAAATCAATTCTTAGTATAAAAAGCTACCACAAAATTATTAGAATTTGGTAAACTAGTGCAAATTCTGAAGTTCATATCACTGTTCCACAAATACGGATAACATCAACATAAATGAAGTTTAATAGAAAAAAATCTAACAAATTAAATTTCTACAAGATATGCAAAAATACCATGTAAGAATAATGAAACAAAATGATGGAAAAACTAAGAGCTTGTCACGGATCACTTTTGAATTTTATATTTTGTTTTGTTTTTAGATTCATTTTAAAAACATGATTGTTTAGAGTATTCTTAGAATTTTTTTTTTAATTTTTTATCTTCAAAAATAAATTCACTTATTTTTTAAAATTCTCAAAATATTTAGAAGTTATTTTCAGTGTTTTTAAAAACAACTCAACTTTTTATAACTTACAAAACACAGCCCATTTTAAGTAAAAACATAAACAAAATAAGATGAAACTAAAAAATAAAAAACTAAAACTAAAAGTGATCCCTAACAGCCACTAAGGCCCCATTTGGGGTCATTTTAATTTTATGCTTTTATTTTTATTTTTATTTTATTTTGTTTATGTTTTGATTTGAATTAAAATATAATTGGTCGTGGTAGTTGTTTTTAAAAATGCAAAACATCTTATTGGTGTTATGAGTATTTTAAAAATAAGCTGATTTGTTTAAAAAAAACATATATAAATTATACCAACCAAATAAATTCAAAAATAAAAGTAAAAATGAAAACATAAATGATGTCAAATGGGCCTAAAGGGGTTGTCTAGGATCACTTTTGTTTTTTTTATTTCTATTTATTTTATTTTTATTTTATTTTTTTATATTGTGCTTTGAAACAAGACATGTTTGGTATGTTTTAATAAAATATGATTGTTTTTAAAGCACTCAATATACCCAAAAGTTATATTAAACGATTTCAAATCATGTTTATTTATTTTTATAATTAAAAAAATATTTTTAGTATTCTCAAAAATATGTTTATTTATTTTTATAAATAAAAAATAAAAATATATTAAAAACAGTTTAAATAAAAATAGTTTTAAAAACAAAGGGAAAAATAAAAATAAAAAAAAAATGATAACAAAAAATAAAATTGAACCCAAACAAGCCCTAAGGGGTGGTTGCTTGGAATCAATTTTATTTTAATTTTTTAACTTGTGCATTCAAAAATAGTAAAAATAACAAAATAATATGTTTGTTTACCTTTTTTACCTGTTTTATTTGAAAATACATTTTAATTTATTTTTAAAAACACTAAAATAAAGTTCTATTTTTTTTTTCCACTTAAAACACACTTTTCTGTGAATAGACCTTACACCCCACTGAAGTCCCAACATTAAGCTTTCTTCCAACAGGAGTTTTTTTCCTTGGGAAAAACTAACTTCTCTCAAACAACCAATCTTGATTCCTCTTTTATATCAAAAATAGTCAAAACCTTCTTTGCATCTATGAAACTGATTTTGAATTTTTAGAATGTGCTTAAAGATCAAATCTAGTGGCAAGACATTGTGGGGATAAAAAAAGATACAGAGAAGGTAAAATCGATGGAAATTGGACGGGCAAAAGTCATGATTGTTGGGCGGGGGTCAGAAGGTTCAACCATGCATTCTCTTCAAGATACACCCTTGCCACTTGAAGAAGAATAGGCTACAACACTCAAAGTAAATGAAAACATAGAAAAAATAACTTCAAAAAACATAAATCAAAGCAAAATATCCACATCAGTCTCTAAACAATAAATTTATATTAAGACATAAATTAAAACCCTATTTTAATTATAATATTATAAAAGATGGGGGCCCAAAAGGCTGGCAGCAGCCAATAGACGGAAAAGTTCAGCAATTGGACTCCACAGAACGGGAGTTAGTCCCGATCGGATCATACGTGCACAAAAGATCGCAAGGTTTATTTTTATGTCACTCTCCACGAGTAGGAAAGAATTCGTTTTCTTCTTTCGGAACATCCAGATCCTCATAATTCAATAATGAGTTGAGAACATTAAATATAGTAGATGTGTTTAGATTTTAGTAGAGGTGCGTTTATTCATTGATTGATAAATACAATGTGTCTCATAATAAAATAATGTATGTTGTGAAGTATGAAACTATTGTACACATAAATGTTTGTATTTGCATGTTAGGAAAATGAATTTACCCCCTTATGGTACTGGTTGAAGATGCCGATGTACTCGAGTGTGTAGTTGTTTTACCTACCACCTAAGACAATTGTGAGATTTAGATGACTAACAGTTGTGTTGACGAGAGAGTATTGGTCAAGTTACGCATCCTACCAACTCAAATAATTGTAAAATTTAGATCACTAAATATTGTACAGACGGGAGAGTATCGGCTAGGGGTGAGTAGGTACCTTTTTATTTTGGAAACTCATATAATTTAGATCATGAATCATTGTGCCGACAAGATAATATCTGTAAGGAGTGTGATAGGTTATATTTGACGGTGCACCTAAGATGGATGTAAGAGTCAAGAGTAAGAAGTATACTAAAGTTTTAAGAAATTACATCTCAAAAAGTAAAGTAAAAGATAATTCAAAAAGTAAAGTAAAAGATAATGCATGTAAAAATCCTAGATTTCTTCCATGAACAAGCATCATGAATATATGATATAAATTATTATATGATTTTCTAGAATATATTAGAATAAACTAGCATACATATTGTCTTCTTTTATTGGGGTTAATGTAATTTAAAATTGTGATTACTCCACTGGATTATCTTGGATAACACATTAAGGTGTTTAATATATTTTCAATGCTAAATTTTGAAATAAAAGATTAATACTTAAAAGAATGTTTACAAAATGCCAGATCAGTAACAAGAAAAATAATTTTTTTTATTTGTTAATTAAACTATTTTCCTTAGTAGCTCTTTTAAATTATGTTTGGATTATAATCTGTTAGTGATAGAAAATAAATGTAGATTTTAAATTTCCTCATCCGACCGTCTGTTCATTCCAAGTCGTCGGGTCAGTTGTAACAAAAGTGGTATTAGAGAGTTTAAGGAGTGTTTTGTGATATGAGTTTCATGTTAGTTATCTTATATCGAGTATCCTTATGTACTTTTATTTTAGAAGTTGAGTGTTGTGTTAGTTACCCTATTTAGGATATGGCGATGTTATTTTAGTTTTGTTATTATGTTTAAGATATTTGAGAATCGTTAGTTTATTACCTTTAGGAGTGTGTATTATTTGGTAAAAATAAAAAAATTAAAGCGAACCAAGGTCATTTTGATGATTCGATTTTCAATATTTGGTTTTTGGTTCAATTTCAATATTTCATTAAACCAAAAAAACCAAAAAACCGAATAATATTAAGATTAAAAATTTATTCATCAAGAAAGAACTAAACTAAGCATTAGGCATGTTTATTTTAGGTTAGTTTGAATTCTTTTAATTTTAAAGAGATGGTGAAGTGATGAGAAAACAGAAATGAAATTTTAATTTTCATATAAAACCTAAAGTTTTACTTATTTTAGGCCAATTGCTAAATTTCAGATTGCTCCAAACCAAGGAGATAAAAACAAAATTATAATTCGGTTCAGTTTGGATTTGCTTTAGCAGAAGCTTGGTCAGTTCGATTTTTGAATTTTGGATTTCAATTACATTTGCTTTGACAAATGATCCAACCATATTAACAGATTATACACTCCTATTGACCTTCACTTGGTCCATATCAATGCTACCGCTAAAATTATATATCATAGGAAGCATGTACACACCTTCAAAAAATGACACTTCTTTGGACGACCATACAATTTCATTATCTGAAAAACTACAAACATCTATCACAAGTGGTACAAATACTCTGGAACAATTATACATTGATTTATTGTCAAAATACAAAACCACAAACTTCTCAATGAAAATTCAAAAAACATAATTCATCATTCTCATAAAAAAGCTCAAGGAATTAGATAAGCCAAACGGCATGATCGTCTAGTCATACAGTCCAACTCTCGCTAAACTTGGTTTTCTACACATCCCCGAGCTTAGAAGCAATTAATTAATATAGATGGATCAATTTGCAAATTAGTTAAGCCAAATGAAATTGAAATCCAAAATCTAGAAAATTAAATCGATTAAACTTTTTCTAAAACAAATTCAAATCGAACTGAAATATAATTCAATTTTATTAGCTCGATTTAGAGTAAATCAAAATTTAGTTTGACCTAAAAATAATTAAAATTAAGGTTCTATTTTAAAATTAAAAATTTCATTTCTTTCTTATCTACTAACAAAATTTTAATATTAAAAAATTTTAAACTAACCTAAATTAAACATGCCATATATTCAATTTATTTTATTTTAAAATGAATTTAATTTCATAATCTTAATATTCTTTAATTTTTCAATTTTTTTGGTTTAATGAATATTAAAATCAAGACAAAAACTGATACCCAAATGCTAAAATTTTTACAACAAAAAAATTTATTATTTTAAAATTGAATCAAATCAACCAAATAAGCTTAGCTCAGTTTGATTATTTGATTTTGACCAAGTAATGCACAACCCTACTCGAGCCATATTTGAATCTAGTGAT